CAAATATGTAGAAACCTGTAAGTCTAATAACTATGGGGAACAAAAGAATGATGACCACCTCCAACTTCTCAAATATTTCCTGACTTAGATGATTTAATGGGTAAGGTGTATTACATCTCCAATGAAAAGATTATCTTTATACCACTCAAACTATTATGAAGCATACGAAACAATGTAGACTTTAGTAGCATAATCCTGATATTGGACTTCCCTAGTGGTCCAGTGATTAAGACTCAATGCTTCCACTGCAGGGGCATGGGTTCAATCCCTGGCGAGAGAACTAAGATACCACACAGCCGAAAAAAAAAAAAAGACAAAGCCCCTTCCCTCCTGGCAAATATAATCCAAAAAAATAAATAAATAAGAAAAGAAAACCAAAGACGAATCTTCACTATGACTATGGATAATGTAAAAACCTAAGTGAAATATTATCAACTTAAATCCATCATTAATTCAAAGTATAATCACAACCAGAGTGGCTGAGTTACAAGGTCCCAATATGAGCTGCACAGAACACCCAGAATCAGTTACTCCTGTCTGCTGCCTCCCAGCCCTTTGTGTTAAGCTTAGACCAGTAGTCAGATTTCCTTCTCGTTTATTTTGAATTGTCTCTCATGGGCTCCCACTGCGTTTCATGTCCTCTGTTCTCACACCACTCACATATATGTGTTTTAATGACTCTCAGTTTCAAAGGAAAAGAATTGGGGTCCTAATTCATTTTTCCTCAGGAGGACTCCTTGTAAATATTAGTTACGGATAGACATGTGAGGGAGGCAATCATCCCCATCCCACAGTTGCCAAAAGCAAAATGCACATGGAAATTTGGAGTAGAGGTGAAACATATCACCACATATTACTGAGCCAAAATTATTGAGTTATGTGTAAAATGATTTTGTATTACTTTTACAAACAGAAAAATAATGATTGCACAATGCAACATTAAATTTTATGTTGATTGTGAAAATATAACTTTGTTTTCTTGTGACTAAACTAATTTCCCAAGACCCAAATTCTATCTGATTTATAAAATTTTAATTTAATTACTCTGAAATAAAATTACTAATTAACATAATTTTTCTCATGTAAGTTTTAAAATCAGTCAATTCCTATCTGTTCCCTAGATTGCATCACATGGCTCGCCATCTATTTCTTAATATTTATTGTATGGTATAAGAATTATAACAGCTTCCTTCAGAGTTTAGCCTTTGTATTCTGAAAAGGTAGCTCCTACAAAATAAAAACATTAGCTTTCAAGACTTTTTCCTGTGCTATGAGATAAGAGTCTATTTCTGGAATTCAAGGCCACAAATTTGACTCTGTGATCTCTGAGGTCTTCTGTGACCTCATGCAATATTCTCCAACAAAGCAGGCAGTATACAGGTAGTAAAAATAAAAAAGCCTCCTGGGTATAGGAAGCACAATTAAACTATTGATGGAATATTTTTCCTAATTTAGTTTTATGTTCCTTGATCTCAGACTCAAGAACATTGTAATAGACTGATCCCTTGGAGACAATGTTCCCTTTCTCTCATTTCATGTTTCTGCCTATCCCCTTCTCCCAGATAATACTAAATCTCTGCTTTAATGTATGAATGACAAAATTAATGTGATTTAAACTGCAATGTGTAGTGGTAACTGGGAATATTTCCTTTGTTTGTAAATGCTAATGTTTAAGGAAATGATACTTGGATTACGTATAGCTTCTATTTATTGACAATTTAACTCTGAGCTTAGTGCTGCTTTCTTCTCTATCTATTCACTCTTTCCAGGTCATTTCATCTACTCCTGTGGTTTTAAATGCCATCTATGACTCAGAAATGTGTAACTGCAGCCCTGACCTTCTGAATGCCTACTTTATATCCCCAATTAGATGCCTAACAGGCATCTCATATTTGACACAACTAAATCCTCTTGGTATCAAAGCCTGAAGTAAAAATCAAAATGCTGGCATCATTTGGGAGGATAAATCCGGGTCAGTAAGGGCAAGGAGTAAAAGGACAATGAAATGCAGGTTAGATTCATCAACAAGCATGTTCACTCAACACACAGATTTCTCAAGGTTTGCAAGAAGAAATCATACGTCAGAGCAGTCCACAGAGGGGATAAATATGGGGAAATGTATATGCTAAGTCCTTTCTGTGGTGGGCATGAACATGTGCATACACATAACTGCCTTCAAGAAAGGATTTGTGGCCCAGCTGTTGGGAATGCTATCAGGAGTCAGACTCCAGCTGTCAGCTCCTTCAGAGAGCCATCTCACCCAACAGTACACAATTCCCGAGGCAGCTCACAACCAAAAATTGATTATGTAAGTATAAAAGCCAGGCTTTTTTTGCCTACTTCAGGACAACTCTAACTGGCTTTATGTGCCCAACCATAGCGTTAGCCAAATCTTTGTTGAGTGTATCTCAGTTTGATTTCTCCCTCTATCTGATCTTACTTCTGTATCCTTTCATTCACATGTGTTAACCCACAATAAATATATGACATAATAAACACCATGTAAGTATTTATATCCAGAAAACTCAACCTACAACACCATCTGTCTCTCATTTCTCATTAGGTAAAAGTTCATATGATAAAGAGTTAATTTCCCAAAATTCTGAGTCACATCATCTGGCCCCTTCACAGTTACTCAAGAATAGAATAGCTTTCTAGTTCACCTGGGACTGACTGGGTTTTCACACTGATAGTCCTCCTTCCTGAGAAACCCCTCAATCCTGGGCAAACAATGATAAATTGGTCACCATACTTGGGAAGACTGATCCTACACCACATGGTGTGGAATTTCATTTAAATCTAGACATGGCAGGGCTTCCCATGGTGCAGTGGTTGAGAGTCTGCCTGCCGATGCAGGGGACACGGGTTCGTGCCCCGGTCTGGGAAGATCCCACATGCCGTGGAGTGGCTGGGCCCATGAGCCATGGCTGCTGAGCCTGCGCATCTGGAGCCTGTGTTCCGCAACGGGAGAGGCCACAACAGTGAGAGGCCCGCGTACCACAAAAAAAAAAAAAATCTAGACATGGCAGAGCAGCTACTTGATGCAGCAGGGTTGCAATCATAAGATAGAAATGAGGCAATTGAGGGAATCTGAAAAGGAGCACACTTTTTTGTCCAATTCATTGTCCAGAACTGAACTAATTCATACACACTCTCCAAAATGCTCCTCTCAGTCTTCCTCATGTCAATATGTAACACTACCATTCATCAGTTGCTTAGGGCAAAAACTTTGAACTTCTCTCTTTTTCTCATAATCCATATCCAGTCCATCCTCAAATCCAGATGGCTCTACCTTCAAAATATATATAGGATCTTATCCCTTCTAACATTTTCCATCACTATCACCATATTCAAGCTATCATGATTTTCCTCCTGGACATCTATAATAGTTGCCTGACTGATCTTCTTCTTTTTACTTTTCCCCATTCGATTGGTTCTCTAAACATTTGGCAGATGATTCTTTAAACAACTAGTTCAGATAATGTTAGTCCTCTACTTGAAATTCTCCAAAATCTCACCATCACCATTAAAATCTAAAGTCTTGAGAGGTCAAGATAGTAGAGTAGGAGGACACGGAACTCACCTCCTCTCAATGAAAACATCAAAAATACATCTACATGTGAAGTAATTCTCACTGAAAATAAACTGGAGACTGGGAGAAAGACTCTTGTACAACAAAGGCTGTAAGAAAGATTTACACGGAGCTGGGAAAGAAAGGAAGAGAAGTGATCAAATTGGGACCTGTACCCCTTGGAGGAGACACAGAAGAGGAGGGTGATTACTGGGCTTGGAGATCCTCCCTGGGGAGTAAGAAGTTTGAGCCACATATTGGGTGCCCCAGCCCTGGGAGCTGCCTCAGTTGAACACTGAGAGGACAACTCTCCTTTGTTGGTTTGAAAACCAGTGGAACTGAGAGCAGGGCTGTAAGAAACAGACACCATGCATGAAGGATATGCACACATTTGCATACTCCCAAAATAAGGGGAAGGAAGGAGATTGAAACTGCCCAGGACCGTGGCTGGTTTCCCCCAACTGCCCTGGTGTGTGCCCCAGCTTGAGTTGAGTGCTAGCTCTGGCCCCTCTTGCTCCATGGCACAGCTCCACAATAGGGTGAGGGATACAGTGGCTGAGAGTTGTGCACAGTTGTGAGGAAAGCAGGTGGCTCGGACTCAGAAAGACATCTGAACATGGCAGGGGCAATGATTTCTGGTGCTTGCTTTGGGAGTAGACTGGGACTCAGGTTCCAGGACCACCATAACCCATGTCCAACCCATGCCAATCACCTCTACCAAACCTTCTTAGTCCAGCACTGCTCCCCTCTGGGGTGAGGGTGAGAGTGCTGGGAGGTGGAGAGAACACATTTAGAGGGAACAGAGTCAGCATGGTCCAAAAGCTCAGGGCTTATGCTCCAGCAACATGGAACCCAACCCCTCCACCAATAAAATGGTGTTGGCCACTGAGCAGAAGAGGAACCCCAGGCCAAACATGGCTGTAATTCTAGTCCCCCCATTACCAGCCTCGTCTCTCACCAAGGTGATAACTGGCAGCACACACTGGGGGAAGATGTGACCCATGTTGATTTCAGATCCAGCTTTCCTACCAAAGCCACTGTGCACAGACAGACTGCATAGGGATACTCCCACACAAGGACACCACCTCAAGACCAGCATAGGATGTTCACTGCAGCAGCACATATACTAAATCTGGAAAAACACAGAGCAGATTAGCATGACCACTGCACAAGGATGACATGCAAATTCGTAAAGTATCCATATTTTTGATTGGAAGAATCAATATTGTCAAAATGACTATACTACTCAAATCAATCTACAGATTCAATGCAATCCCTAACAAATTACCAATGGTATTTTTCACAGAATTAGAACAGAAAATTTTATAATTTGTATGGAAACACAAAAGACCTGAAGAGCCAAAGCAATCTTGAGAAAGAAAAATGGAGCTGGAGGAATCAGGCTCCCTGACATCAGACTATACTACAAAGCTAGAGTAATCAAAACAGTATGGTACTGGCACAAAAACAGAAATGTAGGTCAAAGAACAGGATAGAAAGTCCACAGATAAACCCAAGCCCCTACGGTCACCTAATCTGTGACAAAATAAGCAAGAATATACAATGGACAAAATGTCTCTTCAATAAGTGGTGTTGGGAAAACTGGACAGCTACATGTAAAAGAATGAAATTAGAACATGCCCTAAAACCATACACAAAAATAAACTGAAAATGGATTAAAGACCTAAATGTAAGGCCAGATATATAAAACTCTTAGAGTAAAAGGTAGGCAGAACACTCTCTGACATAAATCCTAGCAGGATCTTTATTTATCCACCTCTTAGAGTAATGAAAATAAAAACAAAAATAAAGAAATGGGACCTAATTAAACTTAAAAGCTTCTGCACAGCAAAGGAAACCATAAAGAAAACAAAAAGACAATCCACAGAATGGGAAAAAAGTATTTGCTAATGAAGTGACCAACAAGGGATTAATCTCCAAAATATACAAACAGCTCATGCAGCTTAATATTAAAAAAACAAAAAAAACAGTCAAAATATGTGCAGAAGATCTAAATAGACATTTCTTCAAAGAAGACCTATAGATGCCAAAAAGGACATGAAAATATGCTCAAAATCACTAATTATTAGAGAAATATAAATCAAAACTACAATGACGTATCACCTCACACCAGTCAGAATGGCCATCATCAAAAAATCTACAAACAATAAATGCTGGAGAGGGTGTGGAGAAAAAGGAACCCTCCTACACTGTTGGTAGGAATGTAAATTGGTAAAACCATTATGGAGAAGTGTATGGATGTTCCTTAAAGAAGTAAAAATAGAACTACCATATGATCCTGCAATCCCACTACTGGGAATATACCCAGAGAAAACCATAATTCAAAAAGATACGTGCACCCTAATGTTCATTGCAGCACTATTTATAATAGCGAGGACATGGAAGCAACATAAATGTCCATCAACAGAGAAATGGATTAAGAAGATCTGGTACATATATACAATGAAATATTACTCGTCTATATAAAAGAAGGAAATAATGTCATTTGCAACAACATGGTTGGACCTAGAGATTGTCATACTGAGTAAAGTAGGTCAGACAGAGAAAAACAAATATCATATGATATTGCTTATATGTGGAATATAAAAAAATAGAATAAATTAACTTATTTACAAAACAGAAATAGAATCACAGATGTAGAAAACAACTTATGGTTACCAGGGGAGGAAAAGGGGGGAGGGGTAAATTGGGAGATTAGGATTGACATATGCATAGTATTATATATAAAATAGATAACTAATAATGACCTACTGTATAGCACAGGTAACTCTTCTCAATACTCTGTAATGACCTATATGGGAAAAGAATTTTAAAAGGAGTGTATATATGTATATGTATAACTGATTCACTTTGCTGTACAGCAGAAAATAATGCAACATTTTAAATCAACTATATTCCAGTAAAATATTTTTAGGAAAGAGGGAGGGCTTAGGAAACATTAACTAAAAAATGACCAAAACAGGTAACTGTTTCACCTAATTTCATAGAGACAAAGAAAGATAAGCAAAATGAGAACACAGAGGAATTTATTTCAAACAAAGGAATAAAAAGACACTGAAAAAAAAAACAATTAGTGAAAGAGATAAATAACTTTTCAGATAAAGAGTTGAAAGCATTAATAATAAAATGCTAACTAAACTAGGGAAAAGAATAGATGAACACAGTGATAATTCTAACAAAGAAGTAGAAAATATAATAAAGAATCTTTTGGTTAAACATAAGACATGACACCATAAAATTCCTTGAATAGAGCATAGGCAAAACATTCTCTGACATAAATCATACCAGTGTTTTCTTAGGTCAGTCTCCCAAGGCAATAAAAATAAAAGCAAAAACAAACAAATGGGACCTCATCAAACTCATAAGGGGTTTCACCATAAAGGAAGCCATAAACAAAATGAAAAAAACTATGGACTGGGAGAAAATATTTGCAGACAATGTGAACAACACAGGATAAATTTACAAAATATATAAACAGCTCATACAATTCAATCAAAAATTGGGCAGAAGACCTAAAAAGACATTTCTCCAAAGAAGACATACAGATGACTAATAGGCACATGAAAAGATGCTCAACATTGCTAATTACTAGAGAAATGCAAATCGAAACTACAATAATTACCACCTCACACCAGTTAGAATGGCCATGATCAAAAAGTCTACAATTAATAAATGCTGGAGAGGGTGTGGAGAAATGAGAACCATCCTACACTGCTGGTGGGAATGTAAATTGGTACAGCCACTATGGAGAACAGTATGGAGGTTCCTTAAAAA